AGTGGTTCATAATCACTGAACCAGCTGAATGATGTCAAGAAACCTGCAGTGAGAAAATTGGAAATGGAGGGCATCTTGTGCTGTTATGATTTCCAGTGCCCCCTTTTTCAGGATAAAGGCATAGATCAAAGTATAAAGGGGAGCTTTTTTATTTTTTCTTCTTCTAAATAATGCAGAAGTTTTTATTACATATCAGGTATAGGTGGACATATTAGAGCCAGTTTAAGGCATCAGGCTAGAAACCGGGAGACCATGAATTCTAGTCCTACCTTAGATGTGAAGCCAGCTGGGTGACCTTGGGCCAGTCACTCTCTCTCTCAGTCCTAGGAAGGTGGCAATGGCAAACCACTTCCAAAAAACCTTGCCAAGAAAACTGCAGGGACTCAGGTAGTCCAGGCAGTCGCCAGGAGTCAAGACTGACTCGAAGGCACAATAATAATAATAAAAAGTGGACATAGGATAAAAGCTTGCTTCTTTCACCTACATTGTCCTTATCTTAGTTTATAAAATGGAAGAATAGTGACAGCTTTTCCCTGCAATAAAATGAACTTTTCTGCTCCTTTTGAGTTAAGAGCTTTGTTAAGGACAAAGCAGCCAGTACAAAAAAGTAAAAACTTTTTTTTTACTTTCTGCATTCCAATGTATTTAGCTGCATTGGGAGCAGTATGAAAAATATGACCTAGCCATGTTGCTGAAAGACAGGTCCTAGAATCTATCTGCACTGGTTATGCTGGCTGGGACTATTGAGAGTTGTGGCATGACAAATCTGGATGGCCACAGTTTCCAAACAGTTAATGGTTATGATTACTGCCTTGTTGGAATAATTTGAACTGTTTTGTTTGAAATAGTTAACCATCTTAAAACTGCATCATATAATTAATAGGGCTGAGCAGACGTTTGGAGATAACTTGGAAGAAATAATTAAGGCTGTAAAGATACCCCTGTCTGCAACTCTTTAAAGCAGCTGTATCTTTTCGCAGGAATGCATAGCTATCCTCTGCAGCTGCCATATGACCCAGGGAAAAAATGCAGCCGTTTTGAAGAGTTGTAGAAAAACACTACATTCATGTTCCTGTGTGCTCTGAAAAAGCTCTTGGGGACTGAATCCAAAGAACTCCACAGTCCTAAACATCTTATTTTCTGTACTGTAGTTATATTACAAAACAATGTTGGACTGAACTGAACTATTATAACTTCATTCCACATCCAAATTCCTTTTTATAGGCTCTTTTATGGGGTTAGGGGTTTAATAACTTGCTTCAGAGGCTTATGTTACAGCGGCTTGTTATTATGAGCACTTGTTGAGAACTTACTCGCTGCATAAATAGGTATACAATTGTGATTTAAATACTTCATGGTTTCATTGATAGCATATTTAGAAACTGTAAGTATACTACCTTGTTTTTCCATGCCATAAACATAACCTGATACTTTGCAATATCTCTCAATAATTTATGTACCTTAATGTTGACTTGAAACTGCAAACTTTACAACAAAAACACTAGGCCTAATTTTTAGACTTTTCTGCTTTTTCCCATCCCACATTTTTAAAATGAACATTGTTTGATGAAGAGTTCTGAAAAACCTGAAATCTCCATACTTTTTAAAATCATTTGGTTTTCCTAATAAAAATGCTATACAACTATAGGTTTAGACTTTTTTCCTCTCATGGATCCAAACTGCTGAATTTCTTTATTCAAAACAGTACTCTCTGAGTCTGTGCAGATCTTTTTGGAAAGGCTTGATTTTTGTTTGAATTTTAAATCTGTTAATTCCACGAACAGCTAGCAATCTTGATGTGTTTCATTTATGTATGCCTTACATTTGCTGAGATTTTTTTTTTAATAACGTAACATATTTGGAAATACTAACAAAGATATTATTGAATGAACTCACAGGTTCATTTGCTCTGCATCCAGACAGGCAAGCCAGCTAGTTTTCTGAACTGAACTCTAGCTTCATTTTTGCACACTGTATTCTGACCTTAGCTCTTCTTGTCAAGCGTAATCCTGGCCGTTTCATTCTGTGAAAATACAAAGACACCCCCTGCTGGTAAGGGTGACAGGCCTGACTTCTGATTACACTCCCTGAACTTTCATAACTACTTTGCTAATTGATTACCTGAATCATACTGACATGCAGGGGTAACAAAAGCGTGTTACCCATTCTCCCCCTTCTGCTGTGCATTTGCGTTTGCGAATTCCATACAGCAGCAACCAAGAAGCCTTTCCATGTTCTTTTAGGAGAAGAGAAGAAGAGTTGGGCTGGGCCAAACTACAGGCCTCTCCATCCAGTCCGGTATTCTGCTCCCGGCCGACCAGATGCCATGGGAAGGGCACGAGCGGGACGTGAGGGCAACCGTCATCTCCCCGCTGGAAGGTAATATTTACAGTACCCGCAGCACCATCACGCTTGATAGCCACGTTCTCTGACAATGTCTCTGCTCCCCCTTTAAGGAGCGTACCAACTATCTTGGGAAAGGACGCGGGGGGGGGGAGAGAAGGAAGAAAGATTTAAAAATAGGGTCGAAATTCCACCTTGGTGAACACCGTAAGACTTAAATAAAGAACGGTGATAGCTTTTATTGACAGGCATTTAGTCTGTTCTTGGTCTATGGTGACAGTGTACATTTCTTATATTTTACCTTTTTTGAAATGTCAACTTCCTGGAAACCCAAGGTCCCTGTGGTCTCTATTCGATGTACGGTACAGTAAGAAACACTGGCGGCCCCAAGGCCAATCTCTCTATCGAAAAGGGGAGAACCGTGAGATTTCCAAGGTAAGTTGGAGAAAAGTATTTTTTTGTTTTAGCGCACAGGACACCAACCAATGAACTAGGATTTGCTTTTAATGAACTGGCTTTCACCCACTGATCTGCCAATATTGTTATTCTTTCTCCGTTCCGCTCCCTTTCTGCAGGGTGAAGTCAGAAAAGTCAAAATGGCAGCAACAAACCCATGATTGATAACCTGCCCTTGGATTGCAGGATTGCAGCTGCCATCTTGACTTTTTTGACCTCCTCCTAGGATACCCTTGTTCTTTTGGCCTTGGACAGTCACATTTCATTTCTGATGAAGAGCCATTCCACGGACGAAAGTTCAACAGAAGTTGCTTTGCCTCAAGTGCAGGGATGGGAGGATCCTGCCCTGCTGAATTGCTGCCTGCTATGCAACTCTTAAAGGCAAATCAAGATTACTGAAAACTGTTTGTTTTAAGTTCCAGTCTGTTAGATGACTCAAATTACTTAACAGATAAGAGGCCAATGGAATGCCATATCCTGTTTCTGTTGGACTTACTTCCTGACTCTACCAAAGTTATAGAAAGTCTTACTGCTAAAAATAACCGTTAGCCTGGTTTGCACATAATATTAAACCATTATAACTTTCTCAACAAACTGGAATAAAACCAAACTGTGGCTTGGTGCGGTGTGAATTTATATGCCTCCTGTCACCAACTCTATGACAGTGCTTCTGTAGGTACTATTTTTTCATTTCATAGGCCTTTAAGCTTCCTTTCAGCCAAAGGTTTCCAAGGCAGTAAGAAATAATTAAACCATTGAAATGTGACTGAAAGCAGAACTTCAAAAATGTCAACTATAAAATATATCACTACAGTGGCAGGAAACCATCTGAAGCCAGCATTAAAATAATTATCAACATTGTCATGAAAACCTTGGGAAAGAAACAATGACTGGGATCGAAATACAGTTTGGGTTTGGTTCAGCTCCCCAACCATCCTGGATTACTCAGTAAGCTAGGATGAAAAATAATGATGATGATGATGACGACGATGCATTCACACTCTGCTCATTGCCAGTATCACTGGTACCAAAAGCCCATGTCAGTAGCCAGGATTCTTGCAGGAAATGCTGATCAACAGAGTGTCAGAGTTCATTGCCAATCTTGGGATATATTGAGGAAGAAATGGAAAGTAAGTGAATATAAAGTGGTTCGCCCAGTAAGAATGGAGTAACTGCAAACTAGGAAATACCATACATCTTGGTAATGGAGTGGGATTTTCTGCCCTGTGATGGCCTTAGTTCCTAACTGATTTCTCATTGCTTCTAGTCCAGCATTGTAGTAGAAAGCTGGGGAGTTCCTTGGAGGAGTTCAGATAACATAGCTTTATTTGAGTCAATGATATAGCTGGCCTAAAGAAATGAAGAGCTAGCATTGTGAAAATCCATTTTTCTTGAGCATGCTGTCATGTTTACTCTACAGATCTATTCTCACAAGTTTTTCTACATCATAGTTAAATAATGGTGGAGCAATTCTTGGGAACCTGGAAACTAATCCTGAGTGAAAACTTTGATGACTATATGAAAGAACTGGGTAAGTGAGCACTTTGCAGGAAATACCTAAATTTTCAGAGACAACCAGCTTTATTTATTTGATTTATATCCTGCCTTTTATTCAGGATCAAAAAGCAGCATTTATTTATTTACTTATATTTCAAATTTGTCACCGCTCATCTCACGATAGAACGACTCTGGGCAGTTTACAGTAGAAACAGAATAAATATTAATTAAAATAAATAAATATTAATTAATTAATTAAAATACACTACAGCAACAAACTTCCTATATAATACTTCCAAGAGGCTGATAGTAGTTAGGTGTTAGTAGACTCAGGGAGTGTCTTTAAAGTATCAGCCACCCCCAGGATTGGTTGTATCTCTTCTCGTCCCATGCAAGTTGGCAGAGCCAGGTCTTCAATTCCTTCCAGAAAATTGAAATATATAATGCACCGTCCTCTCATTTTCCCCCACATCAACCTTTTGATGTATGCTGGATTGACAAAGAGTGAGAGTGAGTAACTGGCCCAAAGTCAGCCAGTGAGTTTCTGATTTTGGGCCTCTAATTTCTTAACCACTACACTTTTAAAGCATATTGCCTAGAAAAGGGAATCTCTGATATTCTTTTCTCTTTCTGAGTCTTGGAACAAATGCTATGAGGTATGTTAAATGAGCTAGGTATATTTCACCTGCAGAAAATAGGACTAAGAAGAAGCCTGATAGCAGCCTTTGGCCATTTAAAAAACGTTCATATAGAAGAGAGAGTGGATTTGTTTTCTCCCAGCTGGCTGGGAGCAGACCAGAACCAGGAGCTGAAACATCTCAGGAGGATATTTCTTAATGTTAAGAGCTGTCAGCCAGTAAAATAGGTTGCCTTGTGAAGCAATATGTTCCCCTTTATCAGGGGAACTTCAACCAGGTGTTGAATAGCCATCTGTCCAAAATGCTTTAGCAGATCTTGCACTGCACAGGAGGTTGGACTAGATGGTCTTTAAAATCCTTTCCAATTCTATGATTCTAATTTTGAAGGGGAATATGCACGGGTATGTGATTGCTCCTCTTTATTGAAACAGCCTAGCTTTTTTTCAGGCTTTGTTAAAAAAAAAAAAAGTCTGTGTTTTAGTGTGGAATCTGCTAAAGCAGTGTTTCTCAACCTTGGTAACTTGAAGATGTGTGGACTTCTGGGAGTTGAAGGCCACACATCTTCAAGCTGCCAAGGTTGAGAAACACTGTGCTAAAGAGTGGATTTTACTCTAATGCAACTCTTAAAGGTGCAGCACTCTTTTTGTCCCAGGCTTACACAGAGTCAGACTGTTTTAATGAATTACAGGGAGGTGCTAGGCTTGCACTTATGAAAGGAGGTCTAAAGCGTTTCTTCCAAAACTGTTTGAAACCAGCACAGCCCTAATATTTACTCCTTCTGACATTTCCTAAAATGGCAGTTTCTGATCTGGTGCCCCTTGAATAAATTGGATTGTAGTATCCATCATCCTTAATGGAAATGGCCATTGATTTTTCCAATTTGTTTCTCTCCAGGGATATTTTGGACCAGACCTTCTATCATCTCCAGCGTACATGGTTGGGAGTTGTAGATCAATATCTGAAATCTACCAGGCTGAGGAATATTATCTATCTTGGATATTTTATCTTCGCTTGCATTTGGAAGATGACTAATCAAATCCACCTAAACATAATAAAATTATCCTAAAATCCAAATCTTGATTGTCTAAATGCCTCCTTTTACACTCTGAAGTCCTTGACTAGTAGACCATCTTTTTAAAAAGACTATATGTTTCCATTTACCTAAGCCTGCAATCCCATACCAATTTTCCTAGGCAGATTTAACTAGGTTACTAGGATGAGACCGCCGTGGTATTTTATGGTTCATAAAAATATGTTAATGAAAAATTAGAAACTATGCAACACCAATAAGCAATGTGTAATTTCATTTTATTTTCAGTATGTTTGCATTACTCTGTTTTTATATTTTTCTGCTGTATTTTTATTTTATCTGTTGTTTTTCTATAAGATGGATATTTTTTCTTAGCAATAATGTGGCATGTAAACCAAAGAAATAAGAAATGTTAAAAATGAAAGAAGTAGCCATTTTTTAAACTGAGTTCTCTCTAAGAAGGCCTTTAAAATGCAATATGATATTTCATATTTTACTTTCTGTAGGAATAAGCTTTGGGCAAAGGCAACTGGGTAATCTAGCCACACCCAAAATGATCATCACCATGGACAAAGATGTCACCACCATCAGAACAGAAACTATCTTTAGAGTTAATGAGATCTCCTTCAGACTAGACCAAGAGTTTGAGGAAAGAACAATAGATAATAGGCGTGCCAAGGTAAATATTTCGAGGTCTTGTTCCCATGTTTAAGAGGAAATAGAATAATTTGGCCATGTTACTGGATAACTACTAGAATGTAAGCTAGAAAAAAACTCGGGTATATGGGGGAAAAGAAGGAATTCATTTAACAGGGAGGGAGAGAGAAAATATCTTCCCTATAACATCCCGTGTATTTTTTTAGAGCATTGTAACGAAGGATAATGACACTCTCATTCATGTTCAGAAGTGGAATGGCAACTACACTACTATCAAAAGAAAAATAGTAGATGGAAATATGGTGTTGGTGAGTTTCTTTCTTCCAGTTTAATTTATTTAGTTCTGTAAAAAACCTCGCAAAGACCTGAATTTAGAGGAAATATCATGTACCTCAATGTTTCTATGGCATTCCAAAACTATTAACATAAACACTCCCATTATTCTGATTTTCTGTTATTATCTATAGTATTTTATAACTGTTAAAGCCATGTTAGTATGTGGGAAGGGGGGAGATGTTCAGAATGCCACTGCTCAAAAATAACAGCATTGGAGGTTCAACAGATGAAACTGCTTTATATTTAATCAGTCCAGTGTTGCCTCTGATTGGCAGCCAATTCACCAGTGTGCCATGGAGAGATAGACCTTCTTAATATAAGACTTCGGCTATTGAGTGATAAATCTTCTCTTTGGAAAAAATGAATGGGATTGGTAAACTTTTTCCAACCAGTCTTTGTCCCTTGATTCACTCAGCCATCTGAATAAACAACATTGCAGAGCTTAACAATTAAGATTCACCAGGCAAAAAGAGTCAGATTTTGAATTTGGGGAGGATGGCCACAAAACTCAACAAGCTGTACTTGCGTAATGGGTTCATAACCCAGCAATATTTACTATACAATAGTGTTTTTCAATCTCAGCAACTTTAAGATGTGCGAACTTCAACTCCCAGAATTCACAAGCCAGTATGCTGGCTGGGGAATTCTGGGAGTTGAAGTCCGCACATCTTAAAGTTGCTGAGGTGAGAAACACTGCTGTACAAGAAAGCAAGCAGGAGGTCAGGATGTCTTTCCTTGCATGCAACCCTAGGGAACCCAACCTCACTGGCCATATCTCTAGCACCTGTCAGTCTGATGAAAGTAAAACTGAGTAGTTGATGTTAGTCTGTCTTAATTTAACCCACTTCCAAAGGGGTAGCATCTGTTTTGGCTGCCAAGGGAGGTTAGAGGTCTCTCCAACTAGAGGTGTGGTTCAAACCCAGGCAGCGTGAGCTATAAATCATGGCTTGTGTGAACTCAATCCATTATGAGTTTTTACTTCTTTTTCACTTCATCTTTATGAACTAGACTTAACCATTTTTAGAATTAAAAATGACAAGCCTGGGAAAGAGGGATAAGGAGCATTTTCTTGAAACTGTAACCTCAAAAGTTGTGCTTATATTTAAAGCAATCCATTCTATTTAAACGTTTTAAAGAATAATTCTGCTGTAAGGTCTAGTTTGGGGGAGGAGAAACATACCTTTTTGTGTAAGTGGAAAGCCACTAAAGTTCATAGAAATCAGCAGGCTGCTATGCAACCATATCTAATGCAGCAATTTGGAGGAAATCTTGTCCCCAGCATTACATTTTGGTAGCCCCCAGAGTTTCCTGTGATCATTATTACTGAAAATCAGTGGCATGGTTTTCTGTTATTTTAAGATAGGAAGCCCTTGAAAGCTGTAGTGTAAGCTGTAAAATAGGATTAGCACAGTTTTTTAAAAAAAGTTCTGTCTTTCCAAAAGTGCAGGGAAAGTAACCCAAATTTCCTGGTCTTGTCCTCTTGGTGTTATTGCTCCAAACATTATGGCCCCTGGAATGCAGACCTGGCTCAGTATCTGGTTCTCATTTTGCAGGATCAGCATAATCCCTGCCAATATGATCCTGTTTTATAGTTTTAACTTTTGGATTTTTTTGGTTTTATTGTTTTGCTTTATTGTAGCCTGCTCTGGGATTACTTGTGATGGGAAGCAGATGAAAAATTGACATACATGGATATTAGTCATAGCTTAAGAACCTGGGATTCTTACTAGCATCTTTTTCTCCTCTTCCAGGAATATATCCTGAATGATGTCACTTGCACCAGAGTCTACAAAAGAGTGTAGAACATTTCAGTCCCAGGTTATGTTTTCCTGCTTCTTATTCTTCCAGTATTGTCAATGTAAGTATGGTGCTTTTATGTGGAAAGAAATAAAGGATCCCATACTGGAATAAGGTTGGTTCTTTGAGTAAGCCCCAAGAAAGCCTGTCCTTACCATTCCTTTGTCTAAACAATTTCAGTTATGAGATAAAATTTGCAAGTTGAACTCAGTGTGTGGTGACTTCATGAACAGGGCTATGTAGTTTTCTTGGCAAGGAAATGGGAGTGGCTTGCTGTTGTTGCCTTGCAGTATTATGTTGACTTTCCAATCTAGCCTACAGCTCTGGAATTTCCTCCCATTCAAGAATTAACCGGGTCTGACCTCACCTAGAGATGACCTTCAGATCAGCCAAGGTTGACTAGGGGCTGCCACTTATTTCCATTTGCACTCCTGTCTGTACAATACCTAAGGCACCTTACAGATGCCTTGACACCTTCTATATACCTATCTCAGTAAGTAGCAACAACCGTTTCTTTTAAAATGTGTAAGAGGTAACCAAATTCCAGTTGTCTACCATCATAATTTTATAATAATGCTTCTGGGCATTCTGCTAGGTCAATAAAAATGAATGGTGAGAGGGTAGAAGTTTACAACATTCCTAACCAACTTTGATATTAAATACAGACATACACACAAGAACCAAAACAGTGGTATAGGTGGTAAAGGAAATATTTGGCCAAATTATAGAAAGAAGATGTAGATCTGTTCCACAAAAATATTAGGAGAGGCTTCTGCAATAAGTATGAGGCTTACATGCAAGTAAGTTTGTAGAGCAAGTTTGTCTTCAATTTAGGACTTTCAGTTTGGATAGTCCATTGTCTGTTTACATGATAAAGCAAATTAAAGTATGCTGCAGCATGAGGCTTTTACTAATTTCTAAGGAACGTGTTATCTGACAAGATATTCCTCTGAAGCAGTACTGAATAAACAGCTTACTCATAACGAAAATAGTTGCAGTTCGCTGCCAGCTTGAAGTGTTGTGATATGGTATCTAATCAAGACTAGCTTAGGAAGTAGCTGGTAGAAATTTCAGTAGGATTGAGTTCAAATTCTTAGCAAGTACAATTAAAACTAAGGGACAATCCATGTATTTATAACAATCAAGAATGGTGATTTGCATATTTGTGAATTCCCATTTTTAAAATATTATACCATCAGCATGTAGAAAGCTAATGTCAAAGTTGGAAAAATAGTACTGTGTCCATCATAGTACCTAAACTCCTCTAAATGGCATTCACAGAATCACAGAATTAAATGCATTTTAGAGTTTAAAAAATGGTTAAAATTTCCACAAGATTAATAACTCATGAGATTTCAATGAAATCTGCAAAACTCATGGAATTTCAGGATCTCATGTGATTTGGGCTTATTTTTTAATTATTTTTGTTTATTGTATGTGCCATTATACAAGATTACAATTAGTATGTACTGACCTCTGAGGTAAACACATCTGGGAGATGCTTCAGACAGATTCTGTTTTCTCTTTCGAAACCTGACATGTACATTGAAATAATACAAATTGTTTGAATTCACTGAATATTAACCACAATTATTTGGGTTCACACAATACACTAAACCAAATCCAAACAAATCACATTATGATTTAATACAAAATGTGAACTGGTCATTGAGTAGCAAGTGATCTGGTATTTTCTCAACATGCTAAAACATTGATAGAATTAAGGCCACTCTGTTGATTCGATATTGCTAAAAATTCATCTCCACAAATATAACATTCAAGAAACATCAAACTTTATTTCTAGCATATGTTGATCTCGGTTTATACTGCTGAAAGTGTCATATATGTGAAGAATCATAACTGACCTCTCCAAGTTATGAGCAATATAGCAGGCTCTAGAGTGCTTCCAGCCATACAGCTTTTACGTAAAAAAAATCAACATAAGCAGATAAAATAATTTCCATCTCCTTAAGAAGAATCCAGATCTTAAGAAAAGAGATCGAATCCACTGTGGAAAAAACAAACACAGGAGTATTTCAAACAGAAGATAGTGGTTGGATCCCTCACAAAATTCCATGGAAGAGGGATTATGTAAAAGAAAGCATACAAACGGTAGTTGTTTGTGAACACAAAGTAATTGGATTTACTATCTTACTTTGCACACCAGTTTAGTTCACTACTTGCTGTGATTGAGATTGAATACAATGGTAGTCCATTACTGTTACAGACTTAGGCTGGCATCATAGATTCTCCCAAGTCAGAACATACTGTCTTTGTTTTGGCTTAGCCATTGTAGCTTGGTAATCATGATTTACGGTTTAGCATGTTGGGCAAGTGCAGCCACAAGTTGCTCTGAAACCACCCAGTGAACTGCACAGCTCAATGGAAACTTAAATCTGGGTCTCTCCATTTAATAAATATGGGCCCACATATTTGGATAGGGTAGATGTTCCAATATTTCTTAGGGTGTTGGTCTGTCTTCTGCTGTGCTCTCTATCCCGGTTGGAAGTGGCACTTGAAAGTTTCAAGGATCTTTTCTTAGCCCTTTGTGAAGTTACCAAGGACTGAACCCAGAACTTTCTGCACACAAAACTTGCATTCCAGCAAAAGGTATGTTAGCAATTCTTGGACTACAAAGGTGAATTATCCTAGTTAATTGATATTGAAGGTGAGCCACTCAGTCACTTGTTCATTGGAGTGGCACATAAAGCAAATAAATAAATAAACTCAATAGAATAAATAAACATAGGGAAGTTATAATGTATTTGGAAATAATTGCATAAAACACCATTTCTATATTATTGTGCTGGACTGTATTGACTGAAAATAAAGGGACTAGTAATGCAATATATCTAGAGAGAAATAGGAGATTAGGAAAGGCTGCTGTATAGCTAGTTTTATGAACAGTCTTAAGTACTTTAGGAAACTGTGTATGTGGGGGGAATTGTCCTATAAATAATTGCTAATTAATGAAATTGCTGCTTACCAGACAGAGATGATGTAATTACATAGGGGGAAAATAGGATTTCTTCTTGAACCATCTGCAGAGTTATTGCATATTTAATCTTTTTGCTAAGCTCTTTTTCCTGAATGATTTTTGAAGGATCAGGAGGAGGTTGGTGCCAGCTGGTACTGACTATGGTAGACTACAGCTAAAGTAATTTTATCAGCTGGGACTGGGGAAAGCTACAGATCTCTTAGATAAAAGCATGAGTGAAGGGTTATTCTGTTGAGAAAAACCTCGAACAGTTAAAATAATGTCTCAAACAACAATTTAAATGAGCAACCCAATTCTTGATATTGTAACAAACATATGCAATTTATGGAAGAAACATGGATGAAAAACTGACCTTATTTGTGTGTTCTATAAGTGACAAAGTGTGAATGAAGTATTCTATGTGAAATGTCTATTTCATTTTATTTTATAATTTTACATTTTAAGTGAGTTGGGACCTAATCAGAGGTTGTAACTAGATAGGAACATGCAGGACAGGAATGTCACCATGCATTCCAATCTCTCTATAAGATATCTGGCATCTTCATACTGAGCAAGAAGGTCTGCAAAGAGTGTCAGCTCATGTTTTCTTAACTGCAGGTAGAAGCCACCAGATCAGAAACCCTGGGGTTTTTTTTAGCCCTCCTAATTACACAAAGGGTGCTGCTGGCATCTAAATGAATGAAGGTAGAAGGTTCTGCAGAGCTCCCTGCTCACCATCACAGTATGAGAGACTTAAAAGGCAGCACATGGAAGGATGCTGGGATAGAACCAGTATCTTTTCTGTACTTTTTTTTTTCATCCCAGAGTCAGCAAATATTCTAGTCTGGAATGCTATTGTGGAAACTTGTGTAGTGCCTTGGGTGCGCAAAAAAATTTGGCAATCTCTCAAGTTGTTGGCATTTGCTGAAGTTTTGCAAGATTCTGGATTTTAAAACATTTGAAACGTTAGACAATCCTCTTGGGTCCTGTGGTGTTTGTAGTAGTTGCAGGTATTATTTTGCCAATCACACTATACATATGTAACATCTAAACATGTTTAATAAAACGGAATATAGTCTGTATCAAACTTCAAAGAACCTTGCCACCTGCTGAGACATAGGATAACAGTGTTCAAATTTCCAACAGTTGTCACATATAAGAAGGGGTGAACTTATTCTCTGCTGCCCCCAAGGATAAGACCAGAACGACAAGGAAGTACATTAAGGTTAGACCAGTGTTTCTCAACCTTGACATCTTTAAGTTGTCAAGGTTGAGAAACACTGGGCTAGACAGTAGGAAATTTGCTATAGTAAGAGCTGTCAGCCAATGGAATGAGCTTCATGGTACCTTCCCTTCACTAGAGGTCTTCAAACAAAGGTTGCATAGCCATGTGTCCAAAATCGTTTAGCAGATGCTGTACTGAGCAAGGGGTTCTAACATACCTTCCAAATCTATGATTCAGTGATTTCTTTTAGATATGGAGAGTCTGATTTTGGCTTAACTGATGCTTAGTGGATCACCAGGAGACAATCTGTTCCACTACTTAATAGTTCCCATGATCAGGAAATTATTCCTTCCTTTGAGTTTGTATCTCTCTCTATAAATCTTCCGCTCACTGGTTCTTGTCTTACCTTCAGGCACTACAAAGAATAAATCTACACCGGCTTCCCTGTAACAGCCCTTAAAGTATTAGAACACTCCCCTTAGTCTCCCCTCTTCTTTAGGCTAAGCTAAAAAAAGCCTTTTACTGTTCTTCGTAGGATTTAGCCTCTAAGCCTGTTATTATCTTTGTTGCCCTTCTCTGCACTCTTTCCATTCCCTCAGCATCCATCTTGCATTGTGGTAACCAAAACTGGACACCCTATTCCGAGTGTGGTCTGACCCAATGCAGTGTAGAGTGGAACTATCACTTAGGCAGCTCTGTTGGGCCCCAGAAAAGTGTCCTCTGCCCAAGTGAAGTGACAGGTGGAAACAGACTATTGGTGAGCAATCTGAGGGCACGAAAGCAGAGAGGCTATGACTGGCCCCAAGATAGCACTTCATGTTCACTCTGAACCACCCTGTTTGTCATGATTATTCTTGCAGCATCATGAAGTAAATGCCTACTTTCTGGAAGAGACAATGGTGCCCAATCTGTAACACTTTACTGTTTAGTTGTCTGTGACAGAGATGGTGTTTCCATTTTTATCCATATAGTTGTACTTGTATCATTATGGAATAACTGGACTGACAATAAGCACCAATTACAAATGGATTAATTTTTTATAAATTACCTTTTGAGGTCCAGTAGGCCTGAGATTCCTACACAGTATGCTGTTTTTTACATTTTGTTCTCCACTACCCTTCCTTTTCAAATGCCATCATACCTCTCATTGATATTCATCATCCTGGCCCTTTCTCTGTTTCTAAGCTTCCAGTCTGAGATCTTAATCACACCACCACAGTGTTTCTTATCATAGGGTTACTATTTTCTGTATGATCATATTTGTTGAATTGATTCTGATATTCTTAAAGTCCAGCACCTGCATCTGGACACAGTATGCAAGTTGAAATCAGATCAGCATAGAATGAAATAAAATTGTTGCTTTTTTGACTTGAAAATTAAGGTTCTGTTACCGCAACCTAGAACCACATCAGTCTTTCTTGGAAGTTTCATTACACTGCTGATTCAGGTGTGATACTGAAGTGGAAATATTGTAAAGTGGAAAGATCCATGTAAGAAGTCATGCTTCAGTGATTACACAAAAACTTTATTGAAGACTAGATCAGACAGGTTATATGTAATATATATAGACTGAATTAAGCACAGCAGTTGATTTTTGAAAACCAAAACCAAACTTGACAACGGGTTCTCCATATTGAAGTTCACTTACAGATGCTGGTAAAACTATACAACATGCAGTGTTGGATTTGAGGATTTGTCTGGGTATTAGGAAGCTTTTGTGACCAAGTCACCATTTTTGTTGTACTGCAAAGGTGGAAATCCTTTGACCTGAACCTATTTTTGTGACCCTCAGAATCCCCTCTAATTGCTCTGTAATTGGTTGCATGATTTCCATAATTTTGTGGCAGGAAATGCATAAAAACTAGTCTAAGCTCCAAGAGAGGGAACCTCCCCCCCAAATCTCAGAAAACTAGGGGAAGAAAAGATCTTGTTCCATCTACTTTATAATTGTTCTACTAGTTGCAGCCCTCCGCGTCTCACAATCAACCCAAAAGTGGCAATTCTTTAGCAATATTGTTTTGCTAAAGATATTTCAGTTTAGTTTATCAGAAATCATAAAATATCAGCTATCTAGCTTCTAAGAGCTTCTCTCTTGCCATCATTCTTCAGTTGAGAAGAATAGCAAACTGAAAAGTAAAAGATATAGTTCTATGCAGCATTTCTCATCCTTGGCAGCTTGAAGATGTGTGGACTTCAGCTCCCAGAATTCCCCAGTCAGCATGTTGGCTGGGGAATTCTGGGAGCTGAAGTCCACACATCTTCAAACTGCCAAGGGTGAGAAATGCTGCTTCGTGTATATTATAAATAGGACAACTGTATTAGTTCATCAGGAAAGGAAAGAGAAGTATGTGAAATGGAGGAAATGAGGCCCTCTACTGGCTGACTTAACTAGGAGTAGCCAGTATAGTCTCATGCATTTTGAGGAACTGATTTAATGAATCAAGTAAAGAAAATACACTGTTTTTAAAATGAAAATAAGGAAGGCTATCCATCTCTTCCCTTCTTCTTTCTCATACATTCTTGTCTTGCTATTTTGTAAATCTTTTTTTGCACTGTCTAAAACTAATATTTGATTTTTTAAAAAAAAGGCAACAGTGCATATTGTACAATGGTAGTGCTGCTTCCAGCAATTATATTTACAAGATGGGACAAGATGGAAAAGTTTCAGGAATAGTTTAAGAAAACCACTGTAATGAAAATGTGATTTTTAAAGATTGATAAACTGCTCGATAGAAGCTGGAGCGTATACATTTCTGAAAAGCTGAAGGAAGAGGGGAAAAACATTCAAAAAGATAATTTATAACAATTCTACATAAAACTGATCTTTATTTCAAACAAATTATGACCTCACATATTAAACAATTTACATTTTACAATATAAATCAACTTATCATTAATATATTTCTAAACTTAAGACATGTACATGGATGAGCTTCAAAGAAAAGTTCTTTCTGAAATATAGGCCATGTGATAGGATATTTAATTCAATGCATCATCCCTTTGCAAAGGAATGATCTGAATCTCTTTTGCTATCTGCTCTGCTATCGCTTGACTATTTGCAGCGATTATCCTTCTTGACATCAAATCAAATGGTCCTCCTAGAAAAAGAAACACACGAGTTTATTTATATCTGATTTGTTTCCACTGATTGATAAAATGCTCTGAGTTAGCAGAGATTCAAATTCTGTATTCTCCAGGAATTGAACTTTATTTTTCTAAACTATATAAACCTGTTAATTTTTTTTTCTAGGAACTCAGGGCAGCACTCATGTTTTCTTCACAACAACTATCCTGGCCCAAAGTAACTCAGTGAACTTCCATGGCTGAGGGTCAATTAATTTGGCTCTCCAAATGTTCGGTGGGTCTCCCTGATCCTACTCCAACACCTTCCACTACACCATACTGGCTCTCTGGACTAGTCATTGTTCCTTGTCTTGGTTAATTGGACCAATCTTATGTAGTTTTCAAAATCCTGCAATACCAGAACAAATAATGATCAAATTAATTTTCAGTCTTGAATGAAATGTTAGCAGCACCAAGTCTCTATGTAGGCACTGAATACTAGTGTCTGAGAACACTAGAGGCATCTTTTACAAGTTAAAAGTGGAAAACAATTACGCATGTTAAAAGTGGAAATATCTTAAATTTCAAAACACAGTAGCCATATTCATGTGGCATAGAAAGTCCTGCCTTGTGGAGTCCTTGGGGTTCTCTGAGCTTGGTTCTTTTCTTGCAAACGTTTCATG